AAAAAATAGTTTTTCTGAATTGAAAGAGAATCCATACTCACTGCACAAAATCTATAATAAAAGAAGCATTTTATTGCTGAGAGTGACTGCTGTTATTATTTTAGTTTCTCTTCTTCTAGTCTTTTATTTCTGTGAACTCTTTTGCATTACTATTCTATTGCTTTGTAACAAATTGCGGCAAATGTAGCAGCTGAATTTATCACAGATAAATTTAAAGCAACACAGATTTGTCAGCTCACGGTTCTGTGGTCTGAGGGCCGCAGTCCTGCGTGGCTTGACTAGATTTGCTGCTGAGAGTTTCCCAAGGCTGAGGTCACGGCGCAGGCCCTGCTACGCTCCTGTGTGGAGGCTTGGGGGAAGAATCCACTTCCAAGTTCATTCAGGTTCTTGGCCAAGTTCAGTTCCTTGCATATGTAGGACCTAGGTCCCCATTCCCCCACTGTCAGCTCCACCTGTCTCAGCTCCCAAGGCTGCCTGATTCCCTTCTCACCTGCCTCCTCGGCTACAAGCCAGCAGCGGTGCACCGTCATTCTTATGTTCAAATCTCTCTGGCTTCCTTTCCTCAACCAGCCTGAAAGACTCTGTTTTTAAAGCGCCTCATGTGATTCCAGTAGGCTCCCAATCATGCTGTTTCTCTAGGAAGGGCGACCATGCTATACAGCATAACGTGGTCGTGGAGTGACACCTCACCTGTTCTCAGGCTCCAGGGTTAGAGAGTGGAATCCTGGGGGACATGTTTAGAATTCTGTTGTCTTATAAATAGACATTTTAAAAATTTTTTCTTTTTAAGCAGTTTGGTGGCCATGGAAGTCAGAATCCATTAAGGAGTGTGTAGTAACTCACTTGCTGGAAAAAATAATTTCTGAACTTTAATTTGACATTTTAAGGAATTTTAAAATGGAATCAGCAAAGATGTGGAAACAACCCAAGTGCCCATCAATACATGAGTGGATTAATAAAATGTGGTATATGTATACCATGGAGTACTACTCAGCTCTAAGAAACAATGGTTATATAGCACCTCTTGTGCATTCCTGGGTAGAGCTGGAACCCATTCTACTAAATGAAGTATCCCAAGAATGGAAAAACCAGCACCACATGTACTCACCAGCAAACTGGTATTAAGTGATCAACATCTAGGATATATAGGAGTAACATTTATCGGGTGTGGGGCAGATGGGCAGGGGGAGGAGGGGGTGGGTGTATACATACATAATGAGTGAGATGCGCACCATCTGGGGGATGGACACACTTGAAGCTCTGGCTCTGGGGGGGAAGAAGGGCAAGGGCAATATACATAACCTAAACATTTGTACCCCCATAATATGCTGAAATAAAAAAATAAAATGGAATTAGAATACTATTTTATAAGCTTTTCACTTAGCTATATGTTGTTATTTTTTTTCTGTCCTCTTCTAGAATATGATGTTTTGGACTGTAAGGTATTTCATTGGAGAGAGGTACATAATCTCTTTTTTATCATACCTGTATTTTACCTTGCTTCAAACTCTACTGTCTTATAAACCATGCAGCAATTTGTGTCTCATAAATTCTTCCATGCAAACCACTATGTCAAAGGGCTTCTAAGACAAACTGCCAAGCTGGCCTCTGAGAGAGGCCTGCCAGTTCACACTTCTCCCGAGGCTGTGAGGGGCGCTCCCTCCAGGCGCCTGGCAGCCTGTGTTTGCACAGGGCAGCAGCAGTCTGAGACCAACCTTGTAAGCAAGCCAACCTTTAGCATCTTCAGCCCGGCATTTTGTGACCCTGCCTTCCCCAGCACTCTGCTCCCCAGTGCATTTTCAGGTGGGGGACTTCGAAGGCTTTCGGCTTCAGCATTCCTCACAGGGTCACGTGCCGAGGGGCCATCTCATAATGGACACCAGCGCTCGTCAGCAGAGGCCCTCCCTGCAACCGGCCTAGGTGGGCAGGACAGTGACTCAGTGGGGTGTCTTCAACATGGGTTATCCCACAGTTGTGAGTAGCTTGGCTGCTGAAGTCCCTTGGCTTCACTCCTCCTAGGAAAATAGTCCACGGCCCTTGTTGGAATAATCCTTTCACTCTTTTAGCGATTTGTATTTCTATTTGATTAAACGCCACTGACTGTGCACCCTTCTGAAACACTAAGTCTTTCTTTAGGAAAGTAAGAATGGCCCCAGGCCCTTGGCAAGAGAGGGAGTGACGTTGGCCCGCCAGGTGCCGCGTGTCTGGATGAAGGTTTCCTGCAGCTACTGCTCCTCAGGCTGCCGCCGGGCCACCAAGAGAGTGGCCCTGGGCCAGGCAACCGCCGCCAAGTGGCCGCCCGGTGCTCCTCACAGTGTCCTCCCATTAAAGACCCTTGTTTCAGAAGACAAAGTGCGGTGACAGCACAGAACTTGTTTCTCTAGCGGGCTTCAATTTTCAACGGTGGTAGTTAACGACAAAAGAGTGGCCAGTAAGATTAGCCACAGGATGAGAAACTGGGGTCCTCATGGAGTGAGCTGCCTCGGGCTTTCATTGCATCACTAGTAATTAAATCTGAGCCTGAAAAGTGGAAGAGAGAGAGAGGCCCTTGAATGTACCGTCTCAGAAACAATGTATTAAATGTGTCTCCACAGGCAACAAGGAATGCAAATAAAGCTCTTCCATGAATAACGTAGGCTTCCAAAGTCTTTCCTATTAAATAGAACACAGTGTGTGCGTGTGTGTGCGCACTTGTGTACATGTGTGTTTGTTCTCCAAAAGGAAATAAAAGATTTAGTTTAAATTTTCCACATTTTTTAATCCTTACAGTCTGCATTGATTGCTCCTAATAATTACTGTTTTCTTTAGAATTAGTTCTGAAGGAAGTCTTCAAAGTTAAAGCAGTCTTGCTTGCTGCTTTGCCCATATGCCCAAATTTTTCGAGTCATTAATATATTTTTATGAAATCTGAAATAAAGCAAACAGTAAAATCTACCTAAGCCAGACAAACATGGGTAAAAACTACCGTTCCTTACCATGGATTTAGGGCTGCAGAACCAGCAACAGCACGTGATGTCAGCCACTGCAGAGAGGACAGCAAAGCCGCTACGGCTGCCGCTTGGGGAAGGCCATAGCAAGGAGCGCATGCGAAGAAGAGCGTTGCTGTGTTATGTTGGGGCTCCGGAAAGCCTGGAGCACGGCCGGTGGCACCAGGTGACATGAGGCTAGGTTTGCAGTGACTTCACTGTGGCACTGCTGGCGTCTCTAACCTCCGCACACTCGTGTACGCAAGCAAGGCTTCCTCCCCACGCGGCACCCGGAGCCCTCCACCTGCAAACGCTGTGTGTGCCGCATGAGACGGGTATGTCCCGAGCCGTGGCCTTCACGTCCACACCGGAGAGGACAGAAGCCAACAGCAGTCAGCGCCTGTGGCGGCCAAGGGCTCGATGACACTGCACGAATCCATTTTGCCATTAGCGGACATCCTTTCATGCTGTTCCTCGGAACCGGACGCTAAGGGAGCCTGCACCTGCGCCTCCGGCACAGAAAGGACCGGTGCAGCCGTGCAAGCCTGGCATGTGTGAAACCGAAGGTGGCCACGCCTATGGGAACATGGAACTTCCCAGGCATAGGCACAGACACCCCGGTACCTGCCACCGAGCCTCTCCGCCCTCTGCCCTCCTGCCTGGTGGTGTCCTCAGCGCCTCCTGCCACCACCTGCGTTGCAAGGGTCTGGACACCTGCTCTCCCACCTCTGGATAGCATGACACGGTTGTGGCGCCTCCACTTCAGGAGGTGCCCTCGCCCTTACTTGCGTGAGTCCATGGAACGGTCCTCTAATTTACACTTTCCAATAACACTGATACATCGGCAGGCCCTGCAAGGGCAGCAGGGCCTCAGAAGTGTCACCACGGAGACACTGGCTCCTCTGTCTGCAGGCAAAGCTGGTCTGTGAGATGGGACTCTTGTCTGCGAAGGGGCTTCGCTCCTAGCCAGTGAGGACACGCACACCTACCCCACCCCAGCGAGCCCCACCTCTCCCTGGGCCCCACGCCCTGTGCCACGTTGGTTTATAAGCAGGCTCTCAGGTAGCTCCATGGCCAGGAAAGTTGCTTCAAGTCAAAATAGTACATACAAACTTGGTTTTTCTAATGGGAACATTCTGTGTAGTTCCGAGTTTAGGACCCAGTGCCTGACTTTATAGAGACGACAAAAGTCATCACATTCGCTTAATTCTGAATGGTGTGACATTAGGGGTAACACACACTATCATGCTATATATACCATGTGAGTATGTGTTACACATTGGATATATATATGGTGCATTGGACATACACACGAGGGCTGTCCGGAAAGTACCCGGCCATTTATGTCACTGTAACGAGGACGGTTACATGGCTGGATACTTTCCAGACAGCCCTCAGCCCTCCCATATAAACTGAGACGTGTGTGTTTCTCTGGAGAACCCTAAAAATAACTCTGACTTTATTTTATACAAATAAAACACAAGAATCACATGAGGAGGAGCCATCACTGCTGTGGGTGCATTTCTCCGCGTGCAGATTGGAAGGATTGCCGCGGACAGGCCAGCGCTGTTGGGGCCCTCTTGGGGGGAGCAAGCCTGTGCTGCGGGGGCTCAGCTGGACAGAAGGCCACACGCAAAGGCATGCAGTGCTGAGCCTGGTCCCGGACTCAGAAACCAACCAACAGGGCCAACATTTTACATTATTATGGTGAATTACAGCGATTGCAGGAAGGCATATTTTCTGTTGAGTGATTTCCTAAAGCCTGTTACACAATCTAGTATAAAGCAAAGAGATTTTTTTTAGATGCATCCCAAAGAGAGTTAAAATCTGTGTGCTGGATCACATGGTAGTTCTATTTTTAGCTCTTTGAAGTATCTCCGTATTACTTTCCGTAGATGTCGTACTACTTTAGCTCTGACTCGGGTGGGACAACGGTACTACACGTAAGAAAAAAAGTCTGCGTGTTTACGACCATCAAGGACACCACCACTCAAAACCACCTTAGAACGCCTTTGCCGCTGGCTTCAGGGCCGGTTTATTGGTCAAAGAAGCAAACTGAGTGCAGTCTTAAGGCAGTCCTCCGCAGGCCTCAGCTGGCCTCTCCTGTCCTCTTTTTCCCTATCTCTTCCTTCTTCTCCCAGCGGTCAGCGGACACCGGCCCAAGGATTCCCAGAGGAGGGCTATGTGGGGTTCCCCAGAGCCCCAGTGGGGGGAAGGAAGGACGGAGGCGTGCTGGTGCCAGACCAAGGCGAGGGACAGGTGAGAGCCTCGGTCTGATGCCTTTACTCCTCCTAGTAGTGCTGGACACAGAGCAAGTAACTTAACCTTTCTGTACCTCAGTTTCTTCATCTGTGCAATGGAACTAATGATGGTACCAACTCATAGAGTTGTTTGGGGGTTAAGTGAGTTGTTCATGGTGCAAAGAACCAGGCAGGTGTGAAACAGACTGTGTCCCCAGGGGGTGGGAGAGAGGACCCGTGTCTGTGTGCTCATCACTTGGTCCCCATGGTGGGGAGTGTCAGACATAATGCCTGCGCACACTATATTCAACATATGTTTTCTGAACGCTGAGTATTGCTAAATGCAGGCATGTTTGACAGCAATAGCTGTGTTTCTAACCACTAAAGTTATGCTGTCTCTGTAAGATGTCAAATTTTCCCTAGCCATAGTGCTTAAAGCTATGAATTTTACCTAACTCTAAATGCTTAAAACTACAGTAGAAAATTGATATTCAAAATGTAGGAGTCCATGCAATTTGCCATTGCTCGGCAGTAAAAAGAAATGAGCTATCATGCACACACACCCGCATATCGCTAAGCGAAATGAGCCGGCCCGAAGAGACTACATTTGGCAGCGTTCCCACCACGTGACATTCTGGAAACGGCACAAGTACAGACAGTAAACAGATCAAAGGTTGCCAGCGGTTCGGGGAGGGAGGCATGAACAGGCAGAGCACAGAGGACTTTTCGGGCAGTGAAACTGTTCTGTATGACGCTGTAACGGTGAATATGTAACATTGTGCAAATTGGCAAAACCCATAGACTGTACAACGCGAAGAGCAGATCCTGATGTAAACTATTGACTTTACTTAATGATAATGTGTCAGTATTGGCTCATCTATACTAACAAATGCACCACACAACGCAAGATGTTTTTAACAGGGAGTGTGGGTGAGCGGAAGGTGTGTATGGGAGCTTTCAGTACTTTCCTGGGCAATTTTCCTTTAAACCTAAAACGGTCCTAAAAAATAAAGTCTATTAAAAAAAAAGTTTAAAAAGCATATGAGGAGTTCATCCCCTCTTCAAATCAAGGAAAGAACAATGGTGCTAACATTCACAAGCACATTCTGCATACCAAGCACTTTCTATCTATCTCGTTTATTCCCCACGACAGCGTAAGTAGGTATGACTCCCACAGACGGAAACCTAATGACAGACACATTGTATGTGTAGCCCTGATTTTTCACCAATCAGGAGGAGTTTGTTTTCTCCCTCTGCCTACTTCTTCTGGCTGTGAATCACTATCTTCAGCTGAATTGACTGAGTGGTCCATTACCTGGCATTAAGTTCCCTTTAAGCCCATTTTTAGTACTTTTTTTTAAAAACACACTGTAAGGGTGCTGGGCGCGGTGTCTCACATCTGTAATCCTGGTGCTCTGGGAGGCTGAGGTAGAAGGATCGCTTGAGGCCAGGAGTTCAAGACCAGCTTAGGTGACAGAGTGAGATCCTGTCTCTACAAAAAACTTTTTTAAAAAGACAGAACAATTTAAAAGAGAGAGATAGAAGTAATTCCTTTACAAAACTTTGTAAAAGCACAAAGAAAGACTGAGGAAGTAGCCACAGAGGCTATACTCTGAGTAGAACATTCCAGATCCTGAGAGAGCAACTACAGGCTGTATTTTGTCCAGGAAAAATAATAAAATATTGCCAAACATATCTTTCCTTTTCAATCTTCTTGCAGCTGTTCCCTGATTTCCAATTCCCTCTTTGTAATGTAAAATCCAATTCAGTTACACCATCATCACTCATGCATGAAGCATTTATTGAGCACCTGCTGTGTGCAGGCACACTGGTGCTGAGAGGTGGACAAAGCATGCCAGCACAGCAGGCCCTCTGCCGCACAGGTGCCTGTTTCCCGTGTCCCTGCGGAGGGCTTCTTCGGAGAGCCTGGGTGGCTGCATGCAGTTCCTAACGAAGCACCATGCATGGATTAAGAAAGCCTGAGAAATATTAGACATGACCTTCCCCAGTGCTGTCACTCTTAGATGATCTGTGTCACTGAGTAGGGCTGTTAGCCAAAAACTCTTATTGGTGTAGATTTCTGGGGGTACATTTAAGTTTTGTGAATTAATGATGTTCTTTGTAAGAATCAATTGTTTTCCCTTGGTCCACTTTACATTTCCAGAAATTTTCATTATGTTGAGTACTCTCCTGTTCTCAGAATCTAGAGTAGCTCGAAGGTTATAATTTCGGACTTCTTATATCTTCCTTTATCTAACTTAGCTAAATCTTATCTCTCCCTTTCCTGACAGCAAGAGGAGGCTGTGCAGTTGAGGAGACTTCCCTTCCTGCAGATGTTTGCTGCTTGGCCAGACCTTCTCTGGAGAGCTTTCTTTTGAAATGCCCTCTCTTCTTAGTTGCGTGGGGCTGTTGTTTAAGTAAGGCATTCCTGGAAGTGCCCTTATCCCAACGCTTTCTCACTTTCTGGATAGAGGAACTCAGAGCTTCAAAGAGTCCATTTTACATTCCGTCAGAGATGGACCGTTTCAAGTTCTGTCAGAAAAGCATGCCAGCTTTTGACAAAATTCTGTTGTGGTTGTAATTGCTCTGCAATGAAGTTTGTCAATCCCTGTGGTTATCCAAAGGTGCTAAGACTGACGGGAAGACTTGAGCAGATGCTGGCGAGCCCCCAGCCCCTCCCTGCTTTTCTGGAGACCAGCTCCCAGCTTGCCTGGTGACTAGGTACAACAAGTTGTGGAACCCCACACTCCCGCGCTCCGCCTTGCCCCTGCGCTCCCCAGCGCGCCCCTGCGCTCCCCAGCGCGCCCCTGCGCTCCCCACGCCGCGCCCCTGCGCTCCCCACGCCGCGCCCCTGCGCTCCCACGCCGCGCCCTCGCGCTCCCACGCCGCCCCTGCGCTCCCACGCGCGCCCCGCCCCCCCTGCGCTCCCAGCGGCCCTGCGCTCCCCACGCCCCGCCCCTGCGCTCCCAGCGGCGCCCTGCGCTCCCCACGCCGCGCCCTGCGCTCCCCAGCGCGCCCCTGCGCTCCCACGCCCCGCCCCTGGCGCCCAGCGCGCCCCTGCGCTCCCCACGCCGCGCCACAGGCCCCCCAGTCCCACCCGAGGACGGCTAAACAGTCTGGGAGAGTTGATTCATTAGGGATGTTTTCTTTCTTTTTTAAACATTCCTTGCATCGGAGACAGAAATCAAGGCAAATGCCCATCCTTCCCCTGAGACAAGCACTTAAATTTGAAGGTAAGAAGAAGAAAAGGGAGCAAGCCAGCGGTTTCCACATTTTGGGGTTTCAGTATCCCTTTATGATCTTAAGTATTGAGGGCCCCAAAGAGCTTTTGTTTATCGTTTGTTCACCTGACATTTACTGTAACCGATGTTAAATCTAAAAACTTTAAAAATATTTATTATTCATTAAAAAATAATAATAATAAACCCACTACATGCTAGCACAAATAAATGTCGGGTTAGCAGATGGCTGTTGGATTCTCACATCTTCTCCTGCATTTCACTGTCCTGACACCAGCGCCGCGCCTCCGCGCCTGGCTACACACTCGTGACGGCGACTTGGCTCACACTCGTGGCCGCGACCTTGGCTAACACTCGTGACCGGCGACCTTGGTACACACTCGTGACCGGACGAGGCTGAAGACAAATAATGGCTTAGTGTTGCCACGACGAGAATCTGCGGCCTCATGGAGCACAGGACTGCGGATCACAATTTGAGAAGCACTGATTCACAGTCGATTGTTTCACTTTTTTAAAAAGGCAAAAACAGGCCGGGCGCGGTGGCTCACGCCTGTAATCCTAGCTCTCTGGGAGGCCGAGGCAGGCGGATTGCTCAAGGTCAGGAGTTCAAAACCAGCCTGAGCAAGAGCGAGACCCCGTCTCTACTATAAATAGAAAGAAATAATTGGCCAACTGATATATATATAAAAATTAGCAGGGCATGGTGGCGCATGCCTGTAGTCCCAGCTACTCGGGAGGCTGAGGCTGAGGCAGAAGGATCACTCGAGCCCAGGAGTTTGAAGTTGCTGTGAGCTAGGCTGACGCCACGGCACTCACTCTAGCCTGGGCAAACAAAGCGAGACTCTGTCTCAAAAAAAAAAAAAAAAAAAGGCAAAAAACAGAGGTATGCTCTGTCCCTTTTGGCCCCTTTTTGCCGCGTGGGGAGAGACCGGGTGCTGCACAGGCTCAGGTGCAGGAGAGGCTCTGCCCAGCATGTGCACGTGACCGTCCCCCTTCACACGCGCAGCTGGCCACGGGCCGAAGTCTTTGCTCCCTTTTAGACGTTCAGGTTGCCACCAGGGACCTTATCGTCAGGATGACTGTTTGGTTTTTTTTTTCCGTCTTCACACCCCCAGGTCTGGCCTTGGCGGCATCTTTGCTTCCTGACAACAGTGTGCCCCAGACTCACTGGGTTTCACCTGCTCCCAGCAGACGCGGCCACTTCCAGGGGCCCTGCTCGCCCGCAGGGGACAGGGACACGGAGACCGTGGCGCCACCGTTTATTTCACACAAGCACTCCAAGGTAGGGTGGGTGACACAGGGACTATCAGTGGGTGCCAGAGCACAAAAGTTTCTTCTTTTCAAAAGGCCACAAGTTTAAGTCGCTATTCCCAGTTCAACTGTTTCTTTTTAACCTCGCGTCAATGTGAGACGCACCGAGCCCACCTGCTCCTCCCCTGCCAGCTCTGAAGCGTCGTTATACACTATGCCAAACCAGGTATCCAAAGTACAGCGATGGCCCTATTCAGAAGTGTCGTCGTCGTTTTCCACTTGTCATCTTTAGTTCAAGTGCCCTGGAATCGAAGTCTACATCTTCAAACAATCTTCCTTACCACCAGCACTTGCGGGGTAACGACGAGGGGATCCAACAGCCGAGTGGGGGTATGGACACAGGGATCCACAACAGCCGAGTGGGGGGGTAGGACAAGGATCCACAACAGCGAGTGGGGGGTAGGACAAGGGATCCACAACAGCCGAGTGGGGGTAGGACAAGGGATCCACAACAGCCGAGTGGGGGGTAGGACAAGGGATCCACAACAGCCGAGTGGGGGGTAGGACAAGGGATCCACAACAGCCGAGTGGGGGTAGGACAAGGATCACAACAGCAGTGGGGGTAGACAAGGGATCCACAACAGCCGAGTGGGGGTAGGACAAGGGATCCACAACAGCCGAGTGGGGGTAGACAAGGGATCCACAACGCCGAGTGGGGTAGGACAAGGGATCCACAACAGCCGAGTGGGGGGTAGGACAAGGGATCCACAACAGCCGAGTGGAGTGCCGCCGCCACAGGCGCTATAAGGCCACAAAGCACAAAACAGTTGCTATCCGGCTGTTTACAAAAGCACTTTGCTGACTCCTCGTCTAAACTCATCTTTGTGTCCGTGGGTATCCAATTGTCCTGGCACCAACAGTTTTCTCCCATTGAGTTGCCTTTTTACTTTTGTTGTAAATCCACTGACTGTAAATGTCAGATTTATGTCTGGACTTTCAGTTCCGTTCCGTTGATCCATGTATCTCTATGTGTAACAGTACCACAAAATCTTAATCGCTGTAGCTTTATTGGACATTTTGAAACTAGGAAGTGTAAATCCTCTGAGGTGGTTCTTTTTTTCAAAATTATTTTGGACATACTGGGTTCTTTACATGTTCATATAAATTTTAGGATCAACTTGTCAATTTCTGCAAAAAGCCTGCTGGTATTTTGAAAGTTAGTGCATTGGACTGGTCAATTTGGAAGAAATGGCCATAATAATATTCAGTCTTCCATTCATGAACATTTATTTGGTTCCCCCATTTATTTAGTTAATTTTTCTTAGCAATGTTTTCAGTGTATATGTCTTGCTTTTTTGTTAAATTTATTCCTAAGTATTTTATTTTTTTGATGCAATTATTAATGGAATTGTTATATTAATTTCATTTTGGGATCATTTATTGCTAGTATATAAAAATACAACTGGTATAATATATTCATCTTGTATCTGGTGGCATTGCTAAACTTGTTTATTATTTCCAGTAGGTTTTTAATGGAATAGAAATCTTTATATGGAGGAATATATCATCTGTGAATGAAGACAGATTTATTTATTATTTTCTAATCTGGATGATTTTAACTTCCATCTTCTGTTTTTGCTTTGCTTTTCCCTGATTATGCTGGCTGGAACCTCTAGTGCTAGTTAAATAGCAGTAGTAAAAGTAGACATCCTTATTTTGTTCCTGATTCAAGGGTAAGGAATTTATGGGATAAATTTTATCTGGTCCTGGTGAATAATCATTTTCCTATGCAGCTGGGTTGTTAATATTTTGTTGACCATTTTTCCATCTGTATTTATTAGAGTTATTGATCTGTGTATTTCTTTTCTTGTGATATCTTTGTCTAGCTCTGTCACCAGGATAATACTGGCCTCATGCAATGAATTTCTCCTCTATTTACAGTCTATGAGGGACTAGTATTATTTGACAGAATTCACCTGTAAAGTCATCTGGTTCTCAATTTTTTGTGTATAGGAAGTTTTTTCTTTCTTTTTGTAAAATCATGACAAAATATAGATAACTTAAGATTTACCATCTTAGCCATTTTTAAGTATACAGTTCTGTGACATGAAGTGCATTCACATTGTTGTGCAACCATCAGCACCATCCATCTCCAGAACATTTTCATCTTTCTAAAATGAAACTTAGTCCACATTCCCGGCCCCCACCAGCCCCTGGCGACCGCCATTCTACTTTCTGTCTCGGTGACTTTGACTACACTAGGTGCCCAGTAGGGGGAATTATACAGCATTTGCCCTTCTCTGACTGGCTTATTTCACTTAGTGTCTTCAAGCTTCATCCTTGTTACAGCTTGTGTCAAAATTTCCTTCCTTTATAAGGCCAAATAACATTCATTGTATGGACAAAACACATTGTTTATCCGTTCATCTGCCAATGGACACTTGGGCTGTTTCCACCTTCTGGCTATTGTGCATCATGCTGCTATGAAATTGGGTGTACAAATATCTGTATAAGTCCCTGCTTTCAGGTCTTTTAGGTGTATACCCAGAAATGGAATTGCTGGATCATATGGTAACTCTGTTTAATTTTTTGATGAACTGCCACACTGTTTTTCCACAGTGGCTGAACTACTTTACATTCCCACCTGCAATGCACAAGTGTTCCAATTTCTCCACATCCTCATCAACACTTGTTATTTTCTGTTGTTTTTTTATAGTAGCCATCCTAATGGATGAGAAATGAGATCTCTTTATGGTTTTGATTTGCATTTCTCTAAAAATTTGTGATGCTAAGCATCTTTTCATATGTTTGTTGACCATTTGTATATCTTCCTTGGGGAAATGTTTCTTTCTTAAATTGGGTTGTTGGTCTTTTTGTTGTTGAATTGTAGAAGTTCTTCATATATTCTGGGTATTAATCCCTTATCAGATGAATCCCTTATTTGCAAATATTTTTTCATTCTATGAGTTCCTTTACCCTCCGTTGTATTCTTTGATGCATAAAAAGTTTTGATTTTGATGAAATATAATTAATCTGTCTTCTTCTTGTTGTTGCCCTGCTATTGGTGTCATATCCAATGAATCATTTCCAAATCCAGCATTTTGAAAGTTTTCTTCTATGAGTTTTACAGTTTTTTAATCTGGCCAACTGATACTAATATCAAATGTATATAATAGAAGAATAGCAGGGCATGGTGGTGCAGCCTGAGTCCCAGCTACTCGGGAAGCTGAAGCTGAGGCTGAGACGCAGGATCACTGAGCCCAGGAGTTTGAGGTTGCTGTGAGCTAGGCTGACGCCACGCGCACTCACTCTAGCCTGGGCAACAAAGCGAGACTCTGTCTCAAAAAAAAAAAAAAAAAAAAAAAGGCAAAAAACAGAGGTATGCCTTCTGTCCCTTTTGGCCCTTTTTGCCGCGTGGGGAGAGAACCGGGTGCTGCACAGGCTCAGGTGCAGGAGAGGCTCTGCCAGCATGTGCACTGACCGTCCCCCTTCACACGCGCAGCTGGCCACGGGCCGAAGTCTTTGCTCCTTTTAGACGTTCAGGTTGCCACCAGGGACCTTATCGCAGGATGACTGTTTGGTTTTTTTTTCCCGTCTTCACACCCCAGGTCTGGCTGGCGGCATCTTGCTTTCTGACAACAGTGTGCCCAGACTCACTGGGTTTCACCTGCTCCAGCAGACGCGGCCAACTTCAGGGGCCTGCTCGCCCGCAGGGAACACGGAGACACGGAGACCGTGGCGCCACCGTTTATTTCACACAAGCACTCCAAGGTAGGGTGGGTGACACAGGGACTATCAGTGGGTGCCAGAGCACAAAAGTTTCTTCTTTTCAAAAGGCCACAAGTTTAAGTCGTCATTCCCCAGTTCAACTGTTTCTTTTTAACCTCGCGTCAATGTGAGACGCACCGAGCCCACCTGCTCCTCCCCTGCCAGCTCTGAAGCGTCGTTATACACTATGCCAAACAGTATCCAAAGTACAGCGATGGCCTATTCAGAAGTGTCCGTCGTCGTTTTGCCACTTGTCATCTTTAGTCAAGTGCCCTGGAATCGAAGTCTACATCTTCAAACAATCTTCCTTACCCACCGCACTTGCGGGTAAGACGAGGGATCCAACAGCCGAGTGGGGGTAGGACCAAGGGATCACAACAGCCGAGTGGGGGTAGGACAAGGGATCCACAACAGCCGAGTGGGGGTGGACAGGGATCACAACAGCCGAGGGGGGAGTCAGCACAAGGGATCCACAAAGCCGAGTGGGGGTAGGACAAGGGATCCACAACAGCCGAGTGGGGGTAGGACAAGGGATCCACAACACCGAGTGGGGGTAGGACAAGGGATCCCACACAGCCGAGTGGGGGTAGGACAAGGGATCCACAACAGCCGAGTGGGGGTAGGACAAGGGATCCACAAAGCCGAGTGGGGGTAGGACAAGGGTCCACAACAGCCGAGTGGGGGTAGGACAAGGGATCCACAACAGCCGAGTGGGGTAGGACAAGGGATCCACAACAGCCGAGTGGGGGTAGGACAAGGATCCACAACAGCCGACCAAGCCGTGGGGGGTAGGAGCAAGGGAATCCACAACAGCCGAGTGTGAGGGGACTAAGGACAAGCGGAATTCCACAACAGCCGAGTGGGCGTAGGACAAGGGATCCACAACAGGCCGAAGTGACACAGGCCCCCAGTCACCCACCCCGAGGACGGCTAAACAGTCTGGGAGAGTTGATTCATTAGGGATGTTTTCTTTCTTTTTTAAACATTCCTTGCATCGGAGACAGAAATCAAGGCAAATGCCCATCCTTCCCACTGAGACAAGCACTTAAATTTGAAAGGTAAGAAGAAGAAAAGGGAGCAAGCCAGCGGTTTCCACATTTTGGGGTTTCAGTATCCCTTTATGATCTTAAGTATTGAGGGCCCCAAAGAGCTTTTGTTTATCGTTTGTTCACTGACATTTACTGTAACCGATGTTAAATCTAAAAACTTTAAAAATATTTATTATTCATTAAAAAATAATAATAATAAACCCACTACATGCTAGCACAAATAAATGTCGGGTTAGCAGATGGCTGTTGGGATTCTCACATCTTCTCCTGCATTTCACTGTCCTGACACCAGCGGCCGCGCGGCCTCCGGCGACCTTGGCTACACACTCGTGACCGGCGACCTTGGCTACACACTCGTGACCGGCGACCTTTGCTACACACTCGTGACCGGACGAGGCTGAAGACAAATAATGGCTTAGTGTTGCCACGACGAGAATCTGCGGCCTCATGGAGCACAGGACTGCGGATCACAATTTGAGAAGCACTGGATTCAACAAGTCGATTGTTTCACTTTTTTAAAAAAGGCAAAAAACAGGCCGGGGGCGGTGGCTCACGCCTGTAATCCTAGCTCTCTGGGAGGCCGAGGCAGGCGGATTGCTCAAGGTCAGGAGTTCAAAACCAGCCTGAGCAAGAGCGAGACCCCGTCTCTACTATAAATAGAAAGAAAGCCGAAGTCTTTGCTCCCTTTTAGCTTCAGGTTGCCACCAGGGACCTTATCGTCAGGATGACTGTTTGGTTTTTTTTTTTTTCCGTCTTCACACCCCCAGGTCTGGCCTTGGCGGCATCTTTGCTTCCTGACAACAGTGTGCCCCAGACTCACTGGGTTTCACCTGCTCCCAGCAGACGCGGCCACTTCCAGGGCCTGCTCGCCCGCAGGGGACAGGGACACGGAGACCGTGGCGCCACCGTTTGTTTCACACAAGCACTCCAAGGGTAGGGTGGGTGACACCAGGGACTATCAGTGGGTGCCAGAGCACAAAAGTTTCTTCTTTTCAAAAGGCCACAAGTTTAAGTCGCTATTCCCAGTTCAACTGTTTCTTTTTAACCTCGCGCAATGTGAGACGCACCGAGCCCACCTGCTCCCCCTGCCAGCTCTGAAGCGTCGTATACACTATGCCCAAACCAGCGTATCCAAAGTACAGCCGATGGCCCATTCAGAAGTGTCCGTCGTCGTTTTCCACTTGTCATCTTTAGTTCAAGTGCCCTGGAATCGAAGTCTACATCTTCAAACAATCTTCCTTACCACCACCACTTGCGGGGTAAGACGAGGGATCCACGACGGCCCGGGTGTGGGTGGGCTAGGCACATAGGGATCCGCACGAAGCAGCACAGGGGGGGGTAGGACAAGGGATCCACAACAGCCGAGTGGGGGGTAGGACAAGGGATCCACAACAGCCGAGTAGTGGGGGTAGGACAAGGGATCCACAACAGCCGAGTGGGGGGTAGGACAAGGGATCCACAACAGCCGAGTGGGGGTAGACAAGGATCCACAACAGGCCGAGTGGGGGTAGACAAGGGATCCACAACAGCCGAGTGGGGGTAGGACAAGGCGGATCCACAACAGCCGAGTGGGGGTAGGACAAGGGATCCACAACAGCCGAGGAGGTGCCGCCGCCCACAGCCGCGGCGCTATAAGGCCACAAAGCCACAAAACAGTTGCTATCCGGCTGTTTACGAAAGCACTTTGCTGACTCCTCGTCTAAACTCATCTTTGTGTCCGTGGGTATCCAATTGCTCCTGGCACCAACAGTTTTCTCCATTGAGTTGCCTTTTTACTTTTGTTGTAAATCCACGACTGTAAATGTCAGATTTATGTCTGGACTTTCAGTTCCGTTCCGTTGATCCATGTATCTCTATGTGTAACAGTACCACAAAATCTTAATCGCTGTAGCTTTATTGGACATTTTGAACTAGGAAGTGTAAATCCTCTGAGGTGGTTCTTTTTTTTCAAAATTATTTGGACATACTGGGTTCTTTACATTTCATATAAATTTTTAGGATCAACTTTCAATTTCTGCAAAAAGCCTGCTGGTATTTTGAAAGTTAGTGCATTGCGACTGTCAATTTGGAAGAAATGGCCATAATAATATTCAGTCTTCCATTCATGAACATTTATTTCGTTCCCCCCATTATTTAGTTAATTTTTCTTACAATGTTTCAGTGTATATGTCTTGCATTTTATTGTAATTATTCCTAAGTATTTTATTTTTTTGATGCAATTATAATGGAATGTTATATTAATGTTCATTTGGGATCATTATTGCCTTATATAAAAAATACAACTGGTATAATATATTCATCTGTATCTGGGGCATTGCTAACTTGTTTATTATTTTCCAGTTAGGTTTTAAGTGGAATAGAAATTCTTTATATGGAGGATGATTCATCTGTAGATGAAGACAGATTTATTATTATTTTGTTAACTGGATGATTTAACTTCCATCTTCTGTTTTGCTTTGCTTTTCCCTGATTATGCTGGGCTGAACCTCTTTAGCTGCTAGTTAAAGTAGCAGTAGTAAAAGAAGACATCCTTATTTTGCTTCCTTGATTCAAGGTAAGGAATTATGGGATAAATTTTATCTGGTCCTCGTGAATAACATTTATCCATGTCGCTAGGGTTGCTTAATATTTGTTGACCATTTATCCATTCTGTATTTATTTAGCATTAGTGATCTGTGTATTTCTTTCTGTGATATCTTGTCTACTCTGCCACAGAGATAATACTGCTCATGAGCACATTTCTCCTCTATAACAGTATATGAGGGACTAAGTATTATTGACAGAATTCACATGGTAAAGTGCATCTGGTCTCATTTGTGTATAGGAAGTTTTTCTTTTTTTGTAAAATCAGACAAAAATATAGATAACTTAAGATTTACCATCTTAGCCATTTTAAGACAGTTCTGGACATGAAGTGCAATCAATGTTGGCAACCATCAGCACCATCCATCTCCAGAACATTTTCATCTTTCTAAAATGAAACTTAGTCCACATTCCCGCGCCCCCACAGCCCTGGCGACCGCCATTCTAACTTTCTGTCTCGGTGACTTTGACTAACTAGGTGCCCAGTAGGGGAATTATACAGCATGCCCTTCTCTGACTGGCTTATTCACTTAGTGTCTTCAAGCCTTCATCCCTTGTTACAGCTTGTGTCAAAATTCCTTCCTTTATAAGGCCAAATAACATTCATTGTATGGACAAAACACATTGTTTATCGTTCATCTGCCAATGACACTTGGCTGTTTCCACCTTCTGGCTATTGTGCATCATGCTGCCTATGAAATTGGGTGTACAAATATCTGTATAGTCCCTGCTTTCAGGTCTTTAGGTATACCCAGAAATGGATATGCTGGATCATATGGTAACTCTGTTATTTTTGATGAACTGCCACACTGTTTTCCACAGTGGCTGAACTACTTTACATTCCCACCTGCAATGCACAAGTGTCCAATTTCTCCACATCCTCATCAACACTTGTTATTTTCTGTTGTTTTTTATAGTAGCCATCCTAATGGATGAAAATGAGATCTCTTTATGGTTTTGATTTGCATTCTCTAAAAATTTGTGATGCTAAGCATCTTTCATATGTTGTTGACCATTGTATATCTTCCTGGGGAAATGTTTCTTTCTTAAATTGGGTTGTTGTCTTTTTGTTGTTGAATTGTAGAGTTCTTCATATATCTGGCGTATTAATCCCTTATCAGATGAATCCTTATTTGCAATATTTTTTCTTCTATGAGTTCCTTACCCTCCGTTGTATTCTTGATGGCAAAAAGTTTGATTTGATGAGAAATAAATTAATCTGTCTTCTTCTTGTTGTTGCCCTGCTAATGGGTCATATCCAATGAATCATTTCCAAATCCAGCATTTTGAAAGTTTCTTCTATGAGTTTACAGTTTTAACTCTGTTTATAATATAGTTTAACTCTATCTGAGTACACTTTTTTTTTTTTTTTTTTTTTTTTTTGGACAGAGTCTCGCTTTGTGCGCCCAGGCTGAGTGAGTGCCTGGCGTCAGCCTACTCACAGCAACCTCAATCCTGGGCTCGGAGTGATCCTTCTGCCTCAGCCTCCCAGGTAGCTGGGACTACAGCATGCGCCCACCATGCCGGCTAATTTTTATTAATATATCAGTTGGCCAATTAATTTCTTCTTATTATAGTAGAGACGGGGTCTCGCTCTTGCCT